ATATAATAAACTACACTTGTATAATATAAAGATTTTAATCATATAATATAAAAAAATTGATAAATTTAATTTTTAAGTTATCCATATATAATAAACTACAGTTGTATAATATAAAGTTTTTAATCATATAATAAAAAAATATTTTGATAAATTTAATTAATTAAAAAATTCCAATAAATTTTGTGATTGCTTGTGGGTAACACCTAAGGCCTAAAATAAAGGGCTTAAAAAGTCACAAAAACTCAAACACAAAATTTAATTGAAACTTTTCAAATTCTCTCTCTTTCTCTTCTCTCCTCTCTCTCTTCAGTCTTTCTCGCTGAAATGGGTTCGGGCAACAGTAGACTTGGGTCGGGTCATCCTCGTACCCGGGTCAATCGCCGATCAAACCTACTCTCCTCTCTCCTTTGCGGTGGCTCCACCTCTCGCGCTGCTCCCGTCGAGGTAGCTTTAACGTTACTGTAGTTATCGTCGTCGTCGTCGTCATCATAATCATCGAGTTCTTCTTGTGTATTTTCAGCTTGTTTTTTTTATGTATAGCGATGCTCGATGATCGGTTTCTGTTGAAATTAGTTCTCATTTTTGAGTTTTTTTAGTTCTTTTGATTGGTTTACCCATTTTTAAAGTATTTGACTTTGGGGTTGTTTGGTTATTTTTTTGTTGAAGTTTGAACTTTTATGTCCGGTGTGTTGTTTTGGGACTGAGAGGATAATTTATTGTAAATTTTATTATTGGGAATTTGATAATATTAGTTATTGTTGATGCTGTGAGAATTTGAACCGTCTATTGATGTGGGTCTTGTGTAAATGAACGGTTTGGATATCTCTTCATTTGTAAGTGATAGGGTTTGGAATGATTATATGGTTGATTTGGGAGATGAAATTTTGTACAGGCATGGAGTTAGGTTTGTTGTACAGTAAATTTTGTTGGTGTGTGAAGTTTTGAAGTAAGTTCTATGCATGTTTAGATTAGTGTTGAGAGAGCCCCTTTTATGGTCTTTAATTGTTTATGTTTGATTGGGACTGTAAGCTCCTTTACATCGAGTTGACACTGCAATTTGGTGCTTTTTTATGCGCACAGGCCTATTTAGCTTTTAAATGCAATGTTTTCTTATCAATGGAGTATCAGAACTGTTGAAATTGTTTTGAAGTTCCGGAATAGCTATGAAGATAATTGGGCATCATGGCCTTTCAGTTGTATCGGAATCAACCGTCGTACCTTCGTGGTTGTCATTTCGGGAACAATAGCCAACTGGTCATAATAAGTTTGACAGCTAAAATTTTTTGTAGATTTTTTTTGGGTAACTTTTTTTTTTTTTTGGTGGATTTTGTTGTCATTAATATATTTTATACCTTGTTCTATCATGATTTTTTTGCTTGGTAATTCTAGTATGAAGTAGAGGGGCTGATATATTTATTTTTTCCTCTTTAGATGGAGGAGTATTCCAATGTATATCTGGTGAGTTCGTCAGAGCATTGTCCTTCTTCCACTGATGTGGTCCAAAATCTCCCTGGAGGTTCTTTGATTAGCAGCACAGGAACACAGTTTAGCAGCCCTAGTACTGAAACTGGGGCCTCATCTGGAAGCAGCATTGCAGCCAGTGGATATACTTCTGCTGAAGATGGTAGAAGCAATGTTGAGACTACTAATCATGGAAAATGTTTGGTTCATAGTAACGAGTTAATTTGTCCTCATCTGGTAAGTGCTAATTCTAGTCATGATGAATCTTATAGGGATAGAAGTAGTACTACAGCTAGTACTTCATTTAAAGAACAAGAAACTTCAGACCCTGTCTCTGTAAATGATTCGGCTAACAAGAATGCAGTCAATGGTATTGACAATTCAGAAAAGGGTGTATGTCAAATCTGTCCTGGGCCAAGTAGTTCGTCTTCTCAAACGCTTGGAGATTCTTGCTCTGATGGGGTGTCTGCTGAGAATCATGCAAGTGAAATAACGACTGCCCCTAATTCTTCTGTTTCTCATGTCCCTGATTTACCCGCAACTTTACACTCACTCGAGGATGAATCTATTAGAGGGGCAATGCCTACTGGTTTAGGATTTCTTGTGTCTAATAGGGAACAAAGCCGGCCTGATGGAAGTGTGCTGCATGTTGATGTTGTGAGTATCTCTTCCAACATTTTGTCTAGTGGCAGTGCTGATGCTAGTAACCGTGAGGCCAGAAGGAACAGTAGAAGGTTGTTTTGGGATGCATTTTCAAGGCGCAGTTCTAGGAGGCTTACTGACTCTCCAACCATTGTTTTCTCTGCGGATGATGCTGACGATCTGGGATCTCATGACAGATGGCTCCTTGACTTCAGTGGTGACTTCTTCGATGATGGTGTAAGAGGTGATTCAGGTTACTTGGGAAGTAGAATTCACAGCTTGAATGAAAGAAGACGACACTCACGATCTGAGGTAACCTCCTGAGTGTTTCAGTTTTGGAAGATTATACTTTCATTTCTGTGTCCAACTTGCTCTCAATAATGAAAATCAGCTAAATGATTTGTAGGTTGGGTCTAATCTGACTGTGGTCTGTGGTATGCAGCGATATTACTACAAATTATTTTAAACAGAAAAATTGTATGCTTCCTGTTATTTATTGCAAATGTATTTTAACATCATGTTAGTCTCTGTGCTTCACTCTGGTTTACATTGTCAATTTAGTAGTTAATGGAATGTTGGTTTTTGTTCAGTTTTCCTTTCACATTGTTTCATCTTCTGCACTGTGTTGTAGTTTTAGTACATAAAGGGGGAATGGAACCTAATGATAACAAATTTTTCATTTTTGCCTCTCTAATAATCTTATGTATTGCTTTGCAGATTTGGGATAGACTTCGCTCTGGCCTTGATGAGAATGGTCGGCGAACTAACTTCTGTCCATCTGGTATCCATCCTGATGGTTCATGCTCGTGTGAGTCATTCATGATGAGTGATGAGTCTAATTCTCGTGCAATATCACGAATAGTCATGCTTGCTGAAGCTCTATTTGAGGTAAATTCCTTAACCAGTTGCATGTGTTTTGGCCAAGAAATAACTTATGTCATCAGATCTCGTTTATTTCTTTGTTATTTTTCATGTACTATTCTGCTTTTGTATGAATCTGGTGTGTATGTGAATGTTTGGCTGGACTGCTGGTGACAAATAGATGCGAGGGCCAGCTTATACTAAATGTTGATGAGCCTTGAAACAAAGAGCATGTACATGTGAATCTTATCTCAACATTTTTTTGAAATGATTGGTTTCCTTTAGAAGTCATTTTTTTCGATTCCTGCTTAGCTATTCAAGTGTACTTTGTTCTGCAAGAGAGTGTTATCATTTCTTTCTTATTTAAAGTGCCTTTTCCTGGATGATAAAAGCAAATATATTTTTATGTGATTGTATCTCAAAAGGACCAAAAATTTCTGGGCATAAGAGATGAGTGGTCTTCACATATCTTTCTTAATCATGGACTAGGAAGTGTTAATTTCATTCATCTTTTTCTGTTGTTTGTTCATTAGAATTTTACGATAATAATACTAAACCAAATAACTGTATTTCTTAGCTTTATATACATATGATATTTACAGGTTTTGGATGAAATTCATCGCCAACCTGTATCACTTTCTCTTTCTATGGTCTCACTTCCTGCCCCAGAATCAGTTGTTGACTCATTCCCTCTCAAAAATCACAAGAAAGTGGACAAAGCTGCGGGCAGCAGGGATGATGTTGAACAGTAAGTTTCTATATTTATTTACCCTTTAGAATGAAGTGTATATATTTAGCTCAAATGAAATATAATATTAACTGCATGTGTGTTCGACGTAGAGGACTAAAAGTTACTAATTATTCTTCTGGGTAATTGCTATGATTGATTATTTGTTTAATAAGAATTTATATTTTAACCAATCATTTTTGTTTGGTAGATGTTACATTTGCCTTGCTGAGTACGAGGAAGGGGATAAAATACGAGTTCTGCCTTGCCACCATGAATATCATATGTCTTGTGTTGATAAATGGCTAAAAGAGATACACGGGTACCATCTTCATCATGCTCAACATTACATATGTTGCCATTTCTTTTCCTCATGATTCATGTGTGCTAGCCTTTTTTCTTTACTAATGGTTCTTCATCTGCTCCCTCTCTCTTGCTGTTTACAGGATATGTCCACTTTGTCGAGGAGATGTTCGTCAGGTTGCCACTGAATCATCTAACACAGAATCTCCTAATATTTGAGTAGGATTGTGAATATCAATGTATATATTGACAGATTTTTTCCCCATAAATGTTGTATTACAGATATTGTCTACCGTATCAAAATTTCTTGTTATGACGCTTCCTATCTTGAGGCAACTCTTCATCATGATTTCGCTCTGTAGAACTTTATGCATAGCAGTTAAGGAAATGAAATTTTGCTGGCATAGCAATCCTTCCATCCTGCTGTTATATCACCTCTTATCAGTTGTAATAGTCTAATTTTTTTGGATCCCAAACTTGATATAACTCAATGTTTCATGCATACAACTGATCACTTATGTTTCTGCACATCATGTTATTCTGAGCGGGGCAGGAATACTACTTTATGTTTGGTCGATTGCGGACATTCTTTTTCTCACACTCCTGGGTCTTATTGTGCAATATGGTACTGTTGTTGAAGCAGCTTTATTTTTAAGGTAACTCTTTTTAGCTTTATAGAGAGAAACATATGGCTATGATAAAGTATTCACAGGTATTGAGGATAGATTTAACTCTTGAAGAAAAGAATTTGATACCAAATTTTTATCAACTATTCTTTGGAGTTAGTTGTGAATTGAAAAAGAAAAGTTGGTGGGAGAGAGTGTGATTATACCTTGTTCCCTTTGGAACTTTTGGGCAAGGAATGGTAAGTAAGAAGCCTGGTTGGAGAATGGTTGTTGTTTGAGATTTTGGTAGTGACTTGATACACATAAATCTCAATCAATCACCATTGCGAAAGCATCATGTTTGGAAAAATAAATAGTGGTAAGAGTCCTGTAAAGCTAGAAAGATTCAAAATTTTCAGTTGAACAGATTAGATTGCAAATAAGAGTGAAAGAAGAGAGATATTGTAACTTCCTTTTACAAGTAAACCCCCACGATACTATTGAAGAACAGTGTTCTTCTTAAATAATAAGAGAAGCAAGTACAAGTCTTCATGTGAACGTACTAACAATACTGCCTGCTTTCAGCTATTTCAGCAAAGAAGAGCCATGAGTTGGTGTCCAGAATGGATTATGGTCTTCGGAAAAGGCTGATTCAGACCTCAGGTTGTGTACATTTTTCTCATTGTAGTCCTGGAAGAAAGGATTCTTTTCCAGGTTATTGGTGGTGTGATCATCGTTCCAAGAAGCAAATTTTTGCTTCATAACTTGAAATGAACGATCCTGGTGAGCAAAGAGATTTGGGTGACAGTTTTCATCATCATCTTCAAATGTCGTCCATCGCGATGAGCTGCCATGCTTCTCTCTGCCAGCATTTCGCATACTCTCCATTTCTCCAACATGGTCCTTGAACTCTTTTTTCACCACATCTAATACAACATCACCATACCTGTCACACCATGACCTTGAACATTCAAAAAGAACCAGAACAAAACACAATTCAGAGGAGTTATCAGCTAGAAAAGAAGTTATTGATCTCAAAGAAAGACACAAGTGTCGCTACATATTACTTAATAATGTTACTTTGTTCAACATATTGAGTCATCCTAGACTATACTGTAAACATTCAAGTAGAAAAGTGTATGACAAGTTTAGGGCTGATTTTATTATATTAAAACTAAAGTTATATTTCACCTTTGATTAAAGTAACCTCTTTTTATATTACTAAAGTTGGATGTGATTTAGGTAGTGATTTGCAGGGTCGTTAATGCTTATATGCTCACAAGAAAACAAGATACAGTTACAGGCAGGCCTCACTTGGGAAAGAACTTTTTGAGGTCAGCTTTATCCACAGGAAGCTTGGTGGAAATTGCTTCAATTTGATCATTCCTGACGGAACCAACATCAAATAACGTCAGCCAACCATGTTAGAACTCATTGGGAACACATCAACTATACCAACCCTGAAAACTAATCATAATACAGTTTCATTGAATATGCTTACGAGAATTTTAGATTGGGGTTTGTGGTACAGAGTTCTGACTGAATTCGCGATAACTCCTTCTTTATCTTGTCCCCTAAAACCTGCAGATAACAATATACATTCAGTTCAAGGCTCGAAGTTAGCCAAGTCTTGTTACATACAATTATAGTTTTAAGCAGCATTTAAGAAAACTTGAACTAACTGAACTTAAAAAACTTTGGACCTTGTCAATGAAGAAATCTGATGGAGCGCCATTTGCATGCAACTTCTTCTTAATATCTCTCGTGTTGGGACCTTCTCCCATGGGGCTTGAAACAAGCTTGCAGGACTCCAAATAAGCTTCTGAGTCTGATCTTTCATTGAGAGGCAGAGGTGCAGTCTCATCCTCTGAATCATTTCTCTTCCATTTCTTCAACCCCTCGAATCCCCATTGTTTTTTGGCCGATTTCGATGTTTTCTCCTCAAAATCAACACCATTTTCGCCTCCATCATGTCCCTCTTTTTGTTCTCTATGAAACAAAGTCCTAAAGGGTTTTCTCTTTGCTTTTTCAACACTATTGCCACCACCATTTCCTTTGATGGATGACTCATTTTGTAGGCCTTCCTGCATAAGAATTGATTGTGTTTCACTTTCTTTATGCTTCAACTGACTATCCCAAAAAGGGTTTTCCTTGGAACACATCATATCATTCTTATTATAAGCAGAGAATTTTGATTCAGTATCAAAAATGCTCTTCTCTTCTCTGTGTTTTTTATGAGATGATGCAAAGCTAAAGACTGAAGCTGCTTCCTTTATTTGCTTCATTGCAGAGTTGTTGTGCCTCAACTTGTTTTTGGAATGCGAATTCTCTTTGTTCATTTGGCATTTCTCATCCTTCAAGTCAATGACTGACCATTCTTCTTCTGAGTTCTCTTTGCCATCTTTCGGATTCGCAACAATCACATCTCTAGCCTCAATCTCAGCACCTTGAACCGCCAATTGCTGTAACAAAGGCCTTTTCGAAGAATGGTACTCATCTACTGATATGCATTTCGCATAAAGCAGCTCCTACAAAAGCAAATAAAACAAACACAAAACTTAGTCAATCAATACTGTTATAACCAAATTAAGTTCACTTCATGTTCTAATAGCATCAAAAACTTAACCAAACAACACTAATCAGCAAGCAAATTATTCAAATTCCCATAAAATTTTAAACCATTTACCTGCAAGAAGACCAACTTATCTCTCAAAATAACAGCTTGTTCTTGTTCAGCTGGAGAAGAAATAAGGGTCTCAAGCAAACTAGCTCTAAAAGCAGCAACTTCACTTTCATCAAGAATCCCCTCTTTGTGCAGACCCATCAAGTTCAAAATCTGGTGGTACGAGTCCTGCTGCCACTTGAGATTATCAGATTGCAGCTTCGCCAGCTTATGATCCGCCGACGGCAACCACCGCCTCTTCTTGAATGAAAACGGCAGAATGTTCTTGCAAAGAGAAGTGATTGAGTCATGAAGTGAAGAGTAGTATGTGGGTGTGTAAGTATACACCATTTTCTTTGATTTTCTTGGGGTTTTGGCTCTGGTCGCTTGACTTTTAGGGCTTTTAGCAAGAGGGTTTGATTGAATATTTTCGTTGTGAGTAGCCAGATCTGTAGATTTGTGTAGTTTTTCTGATAAATTTTTGGTTTTTGATTTGTGTTTTATTGAAGAGAGTGTTAGAGATCGTTTTCAGAGTTTGAAATTTGGCCAAATTTAACGGTCACTTGAAACTAGCCGTTGTAGGAAGTGAAAAAGCTACAAGGCAATTATTTGTTTACTAATACGTTACCGTTTTGCTTGGACAATCTGTCTATGCTGTGACCAGTTGTACCTTGGAAGAAAAAACAGAAAATCATTCATTATTAATTAAATATAATTTAATTTACTTGTTGAAGCTATTAATCAATTAATTGTATTCGCCTTATACAATATACATACCTTAATATAGTCGTTTTGTCACGTAAACGTTTCTGATATATTTTTCTTTATGTTCTGTCTCTCTTAAGCTTTGAGAATGAAAATTTTGGTGGGTGTTAAAGTAATTAAATTGGTTGGAAAGAAAATATAATAATTTTCCAACATTGGATTCAACATGTTGTAGGCCCACTTCTAGAAAAGTCTATTGAGCATTATTAGAAATTGAATGGAAAGTGGGGTAAAATAAAAGATAGATAGTGATCTCTAGTGCTATAAGAATCACTTGTTTCTCTTCTACAAATCGATAGTCTTAGTCAATAAAATAGGGTAACCCATCTCAGCTTTGACTTGATTTAACCTAACCTTAAACCACCAACACCCTCCAACCCAATTATGCTGAGCAGCTTCCAAGAAATTCACATATCATTTATCTTCAAACATAACCCTCAATTCCATACCTTAATTAAAATGGGTTATAGCTGTCTTTCTATTATACCCCTAATATCTTTTAAATGAGAACTACGCTTATTGGTAGTAATTAACAGTTTGTTATTTCAACTACATAACATATGTTTTACCTGATATTGTAAGTAAAGTTCGTCCACTAGAAGTTCAATTACCAATTGAATTACAGTTTGTGATTCAATAACATATGTTTTATTACAGACATATGCTGTCAAAAAACATCACTTATTCCAATGTTGGTAAGTGTCATTGAAACATGATTATCTTCCAACATTTATGTTGTAGAGAATATATACTATAACATCAAATCACGTTATACTATCTTAACAATCTAATAGTAAAATAAAATTCACCGCTGCATATAAATAGAAGTATTGCATCACATAATTGAAAGCAAAGCATTAATTACAAATCAAGAAACTAAAAAAAAAAAAACCAAAAAAAAAAGGTGAAGAGATAAAATTTATTAATTTGGTGAAGGTAATGGTGGTGGCAACATTTCCATTCTGCAACAAGGGCAATGAGCATTGGCTTCTAGCCATGGAACCAAGCACCTTCCATGGAACCTATGAGCACATGGAAGATGAACCAGAGTCTCACCCATCTTGAACCTCTCCAAGCAAATTGCACACTCTTCTTGCTCTGAAGCCTTCCAACTTAGCTTTGCCCAATTGAACCTCTTTGATCCACTCCTGCTGCTGCAGCTCTTTGATGATCCAAACACTTCTGTATGCAACTCCCCGCCTGACCTCCCATCCACACACCTCAAGCTCTCTTTCCCACCACTTAATTGCCTGACAAAATTAATTCAATTATGTATCCTTGGCGTCAGAATAAACCACCTCTCTCTTTGGCAAAATGGAAAGATTAGATTAAGTAAAGTAAATTTACCTTTTGGCTTCTAATGACTTCCTTTGAGTTCTCAATCTCTCATCTAATCTTTCTCTTGCTTCTCTAGCGGCTCCTCCTAGCTTTTCGTCCTCATATGCCTGGCTCATTATGCTTCTTTGCTATTTTTTTTTTTTTTTAAATTCATTTTAGTAATTAATTGATAAATCAAAAAGGGTTATAAATTAAAGAGAGAACAAAGGAAAAGGAAAAGTTTAATATATATATATATATACCAGGGAAGAGATTATAGAAGAAGTATGGTGATGAGTTTCATGGTTGCTTGTATATAAACAAAAAGAAGATCTTCTTGACCAGCCATGACCCGCCATACTTGGAGAATCTGAACACCCTCCACTTTGATGAAACCTTCTTCTTCTTGCACATTCAACTCCAGGAAGCATACCCGCCATTGAAACCCTTCTTCTTCTTCTTCTGATAATTACTTACAAAGAGAGGAAATCTGCAACAGGTAAAACCCAGATGACAGAAAGATTTAATAAGAAGATTTTAACTTATTAAACAAAAAGGAGATTAAAGCTAGTGGGGGACAAAAGCGGGTCCATGCCATTGAAGAAGATCACTATATCAATCTCCATCAATCATTGTCCACGTCTACTCTCTGTAAAATGAATTTTAACCTAAAGTTTAATTATATATAATTGAAGAAAGGAGGAGGAAGGTTCATGTTTGAAGAGGTAGCACAAAATAAATGAGCGGCGAAATTAACCGGCAGTTGCGTACAAGAAGTGGCACGTGAGTAACCTAATTTTATATATAAACCTCGTCATCCACGTAACTACAAAAGACTCCTGTCTGGTTTTGTGTAATTTTATTGGCTTTATTTGGTAGAAGAACATCAGTTACATATTTCTTGTAAATTGTCACAATCGAGGTACTCTTTGCTCGGTGAATTATAAATAATTAGATTCGTGTACTAATTTCTGTGAAATTTTTTATATGAATAATCATAAATTTTTGGTATTGTGATGTTATTATAGATATTAAGTAGAAACAAAGTTGTTCGAAGAAGTACATGATATATGTGTTTTTATTAATTAAGACATTTAAAATATGCGTATGGGATTCTCTAGTGTTGGTATAGGTCTATTTCAATTGCTTATTGTGGCACCAAGTTTGCGTCATGAGTGTTAAATTCCTTATCTCGATACTCGACACAATATGACATTATGGTACAAGATTTCTTAGAATTTGTGAAATTATTGTATCGTGAGTGTTAAATTCCTTATCTCGATGCCTGACACAACGTGACATTATGGTATGAGATTTTTTAGAATGTGTGGAATTACTCTATCACGACCCTTATTGCATCACACAATATTAGAGCTAGTCAAAGACCAGTCCCAAGCAAGCCCAGGCTTGGGCCCGTTTGGGACTGGTCCCAAATGGGACCAGTTGCTCATGGGCCTAGGATCGGTCCCAGGCCCATGAGCAATTCTAGGACCCGGATCGGTCCTTAGGACCGATCCTATGGGCTTAGAAAATTTATTTTTTCCCTTTGGTTTTTTTTTTTTTTTTATATTTTAGGGGCAAAATGAATTTTTTTAGGGGTTGGAAATTTTTTTTTTTTTTAATTTTGTAAAACTTTCTTTTAACCCTTATAATTTATGTTTATTTCAAAATTTATAGAGGATTTTATGTAATTATACAAGGGACTAAAACAAAAATATGTAAAAAAATTTGGGCCCTAGCCTAGGACCCGGGCCTTAGAGGAGGGACCGAGCCTTCCTCCTTAGGCTTAGTCCCGTTTTGGGACAAAGCCTCCTAAGACCGGGTTTTTATATTGGGTATTTGGACCCAGTCCCAAATGTCCACCTCTACACAATATACTAAGATTTAATGACATTGCATTTTCATGACATGAAAGTATTGCTATGACAAGCATTCCTAAACAATTTTTGTGTTAGAATATTAAGTAATAGACCACCTAATAACATGAGGCACATGACAAGAATATGTTCTAATTAAATTCTCACTAATTAAGTTCCATGAATCTTACAAATTAATCAGATAATCATCTTACTAAATCCATGTATCATTGTAATATTATTATAGTTAAAGATCTTGGACCAGATCATAGAAATCCACTAACTCAATGAAATTAAGATTATATATAGATAGTTGGGTAGGCAGATTTGGTTCACAATTATTAATTTCATAGAATCTCTAAGATGATCCTTATCATGTGAAGTAAAGTAAGGATTATCAATGGAAAATACAGTGGGGATTCAAGTCATGGTACCATAAACATATATTAAATTCATAATTTGGGAATTTAATATATAGTTTAATGAGAAATGAATGTACCCACAATTTCATAGGGCCACATCAATAGATATTTGTTATTGTGATTAAGATGTGACAAAACAGCTTGCTCATCACTTTGTCTATATTCTCATTCAATTAAGAGGTTTAAAATATGTTTCTTTTAGAGGTCCAATTGGTGGATTCCAGTGCGTCAACTTAGCTTTTGGGCTTAGGCATGTTGTTTGATGGGCCAAGGCTGTCTTAGCCCAATTAAGATGTTTGCAAAAATTGGATCGGCAGCCCGTGATCACGGTCCATGGGCCGATCATGATACCTACCTCAGTTAACCTTACTTTGTTTTGGTGGGGGGAGGGAGATTTCCACATATTTGATTGTAGTATTTCATTGAAGTAATAATAAAAAAAATTCCAAATACTTTACAAGAAGATTTTGGGAGGGGACTAACGCATCAATCCACGGTCACGCCCCTCACTTAAATCCCGGATGCTTATATATAGAATTGAATATGAGACTGTGTGTCTATTTATATTATTTTCAATTCGTACTAACCATCTTAAAAAAGATACATATATTATATATCAATTCATCAAAAATAAAAAGCAACCACAAAAATATATTGATATAAGCATATAAATGATATTGTTTTATTATAGTAAATGTAACAATCAATCTCATGAACAATGTTCATCACCTGAAAAATCACCAAAAATTCACCCACAACTCCCTTCAAATTCGGCCTCAACATCAACCGTTCTGTCTTTCTTACCATCTTCAACCTCAGATTCAAGTTTATTTTTTTAACTCTACCTCTTATATAAACCACCCTCACAAAACTCCATGCATTTCTCTTAATTCTATCGATCGTTCTTCTCTCATTATGGAACGTGAAGAGCCATTATCTTCTCCATCTTTGAAGCAAAAGCTGAAATTATCTCTCACCCCCTCATGTTTCCCGGTACACCACAAACATCATCATCACCACCACCATCATCAGAGTAATTCAAGTGAAACCATAAGTACTCCTGATGCCAAAACTAGACTCATTCGGATGTCCTCCAACCCATGGCTGAAGAATCGGTCGCACCACAGCCACGACGTCCCTGAACTCAAAGACAAGTGTCGCTACCTCATTTCTCGAATCGGAGGCGGGTCAAAGCACTCCAGAAGGCATTCCATTGACTGCAATTACGATGCATCCAGTTATGCTCTAAATTTTGATGATGATGACAAAAACTTGGATGAAGAACCTTTAAAAAGTTTTTCTTCTAGGTTGCCACCGTCTCCAAACAGAGAGCTCAAAGCATTGTAGTTTTACAATTTTTATTTTCTCTGTTTATAATTTTTTTGCTTAGGGTTTCTGGTTTGAATATCAAAGATGCATGGATTTGGGTTCAAGATTAAGGTGGTATATATTATCCTGTGTCTTTAGTAATTACATGTAATTTAATTGTCTCTCGAATATGTATAATATTGTATGCATGGTTATTTGTTTTATTTAATTGATTGATTTGTAAACGAAATGAAATGGGACAAGTAAATGTATATTGCATTTTCAGTAGCAGGTTTGAAAAAGGATCTTAAAATGTGTAGGGTTGGGTCAGAAGGGTCTCTTAATGTCTTCTTTTTTCTTCACATCGGAGTTATTTCACAAATACTTGCCGTGGTAAGGAAAAAATGGGGAATGAGCACACATGCAGAGCGTAGTACAATGGATAGTGAGTTACCGGGAAGGATAAATCACTCCTGAAAAGGAATCTGTTGATTCTCTCTCAATTGATTGGACCGTAGGTGCGATGATTTACTTCACAGACGAGGCCTTTCAAATCCAAGATATTTTTGAGACATATGTATTAATTAATATTCCTTTTAAAAAATTTGAAACAAATGATTTGTAAATGAAATTTTGTTTAGGAAATTCAAGTTTCTAATATACATATTGAGTCATTGACAATATTTTCTGTCTTTTGGATTATGTTGAGATAGTAGGGTTTTTTTTTTCTTTCTTTCTAATTTTTAAGTTAATTATTAATTATTATCTTGGGAAGTTTATCTGCTGAATTATATATTTTTTCAAAGAGCTTAAAAAATTTGACTGAAATTATTTGTAATACAACTTTTTAATGGTTCATGTAATGCAATCGAACAGATTCATACAAGGAAATAAAGGTAATATATTTTTCTTTTTTTTCGGTAAAAGCTTTGAGATGTTTCCATACCCAAAGATATGAGACTAATTCTTGATCGGGGCTCGGGTAAATGCCCCTGGCCATGAACTGCTTCCAGTGAGATTCAAATTAGATTTTAAATTAAAAAAGTTTAATCTTGGAATTAGTTATAATTATTCATGGAAATACTAATAATTTATTGATTAGTGTATAATACAGGAAATTAATTAACCAAAATCGCCAAAAAATCAGCCTACAATATGTCCCTTCAAATTCGGTCTCATTAATAACCGCTCTCTCTTTCACTCTTGTTCTGATCAGAATCTCATTCTCACCTTCTTCTCCACTTCGCCATTAATATATCTCTATACATTACTTTACTTCCATTTCTTTCGAAACTTTTTATGAAGCAAGAAGATCCCATGTCTCCATCATCATCTCTTAAGCACAAACTCAAGTCTTCTCTCACCCTCTCCTGCTTATACAAACCAGGTTTCGATCATCATCACCATCATCAACCGGAAACTCTAACACTCTCCGCCAATACGACGTCACGACTGCAACATGGTATGGATGTCAAAGACAAGTGTCACCATTTCGTTTCCCGAATGGGAAGGGGACCAAGACAAAGATGTACCAGAAAACAGTCCCCCTTCAGATATGATGCTTCGAGTTATGCTCTAAATTTTGATGACAAATACTTGGATGAACCACCTCTAACAAGCTTCGTTTCTCGGTTGCCACAGTCTCCAACAAGAAAGATAAACGCGTTGTAATTAATTAGAGTTTTTTGTTAAGGTAATTGTGGTTTAACTAATGCATGATTTCGGTTACAAGTTTATTTTCTTCTTAATGCATGGTTATTCTGTAGGACATGTGGAAGTGTTTTCAGAAAAACGTACTAATAAGTCATTGATCTGAAAGTGTTTCCAAATCAAACCTTTTAACTGTTTTCTGAGAGTGAGAATACTTTAACCAAAACTAAATAAATACAAGTGTATTCTTTATTTTTCTTCCTCTCTAAATTAGTTACTAAAAAAAAAAAAAAATCGGTTTTCTTGCAGGAAATCATGGTGGATGCTTTCAAGATTTTATTTGAAACAATTTTCTGCTTTATATAGAAAATTATATGGGACAATCCTTTCACAACGATTCTTGATTTAAGAATTTCCGTATATATATATATTAGATTTAGTTTGTCTTTAATTATATATTGATTTCAGTTTGAAGCATAGGAGGAAGTTTATGGAAATTAAGTTTATAAATCTTATTAAGATGTTTTATGTTTTATCAGTCTGTTTTCTAAAAACACTTTCAGATGTCTTAAATATACGAATCAACCATTAGTATAAAGGCCATGCATGTACACATATAAAGTATTATACTATACGTACAAATTAAATGCTCATATTGAACAATTTCACAAGTGTGCATGGGGTTGTCTAGTTGTTGAACAGTTGCTTCATATTCAAAAGGCAATTTAAATCTAATTAAGATGACAAAATTTCACTCATCAAACAAAAACTATATCAGAAAAAAATAAAATAAAAAAACTGAATCATAGCCTACTTAAAATATGATCAACCTCGCCTTCAATCCACAACGGGGGAGTAATATAAATAATGGAAGTTCCTTTGAAGTGTGGCTCAATCCTTCCATCTTCCATCCTATAAATTCCATTCCTTATTTTTATATGTAGTTAAAAGTTATAGTGATTACTTGATATTTTTTGTCTAACCTAGGGCTTGTCCTATGGTAGGATGGCCATTTTTATATGGCATTTTGTAAATTATATTTCTTTTCTAATGATATTTTACTTAAAAAATAAAAATAAAAATTGGGCGCCTTAGATGGCAACTATAATGTTAGATAAATATATATATATATATATATATTATATATATATATATATATATATATATATAATATATATAGAAGAAATTGCTTATAAAATTACAATTAAATCATTATTAATAATTAACGAGTAATTGAAATGGTCCTAGTGTTTAGAATTAAGAGTAAGCCATGTGATATGATGAGAGAGAGTGGGTAAGAATTTGCATGTGAAATTGCAGCTTCACATGGGAACTGTGGGAGAGGTTAACAAACCTTAGGGGAGTTATTGTAATTCTCCCTCAAGATGTTATAAATGTGAAGAGGGTGGTCTCCACTTGAGACTTGTGCTCGTTATTTGTTAACCAGAGAGAAGAAGTTGCCAGTGGGAGAGCAAGAAGAAGTTGCAAATATTAATGATTTTAAGAAATGTCTCAGCTTATATTTATGAAAAGTTTGATAGTTCCTTTAGCGGTTTGAATCTGTTTGCTTAGTTAGTGTATCATGTACCTGACAGACATGTGAATCCTTGACTTTTGGTCCTTCTCATGCAATCGACATAACGAGGGAGGTAGGGATTGGAGTCATTCTAGATTGCCCTTGAAGTTTGTTCAGGTCCTTCCCATGCTGACGTTGTAATTGCAGTTGGAGGAGAGAAACTCTACATGGGTGCAGTTTGTTTCTCTTTTAAATAGTATATTAATTTCACTATTTTATACATTAGAGTGTATATTTTTTCTGCAACTCAGTAAGAGATCACGGATTACCGTTTTGGCAACTAATGAACTTTCTATGTGAGCTTAGATAGATAAATAAATAAATAGCAAGGAAGGAATATGTTTAATAGTTATTCAAATATATGGCCTTATATTCTGTTATCATAGGCCCTCGTTAAACCAAGTTTGAACTAAATATGTTTATTGTCAGCTTTGGATTGAGAAAAGTAGGGTAATGAACCATTAGTGGCTTATTTTGCTTGTGCTGCATAATGTTTTAATCTTGAAAAAGGCCGACCGACTTAGAAGTACCCAAGGTTTTGCGTAACGACAATTGAGTACCCAAAAGGTTTGTAATCGATAAATAAGTACTTTCCGTTCTATACCGTTAGTGATTTCCGTTTAATAAAGGGTAATACAGTAATTTTGCCCAGCCACCAAATTTTTAACTTTCAAAATATCTCTTCGAAATCTGGAGCAAAACTTCCTTTAGAAGCTTCACTTTAAAAATTAACACGTGTCCCATTAGTTGACTTTGAAGGAAAAAAAAAAAAATAAATAAACAAAAGTTGGCTTGCCTCTTCGTTTTCTTCTCATTTCTCTATAACTCTCTCTCATTTCTCTAATTCTCTGAAGGAAGGTTGTGAAAGAAGTTGCACCATTGTTTGGGGACCATCATCGACGACGACGACGACTGAACATCGAAAATTGAACAGAGGTCGACGACGACAACAACGACAACGAAAACGAAAACTAAACAACGACGATGGCTAAATAGCGACGAAGCTGCGCCATTGTTTGGAGACCATCATCGACAACTATGACTGAACAACGAAAACTGAACTGAGGTCGACGACGACAACAACGACAACGAAAACGAAAACTAAACAACGACGACAACGAAGACTGAACAACGACAACTGAACGAGAGAATCATGGGGTAACGATGACGGTGGAGGATGACTGAACTAAGGCCAGCGTTATTAACAATATAAATTATCGACGACGATTGAACTACGAAAACTGAAGGGTAAAGTTTCTTCTTGGTTTTCCTGTTTGTTCTTCGGTATTTTGTTATTTTAGTGCAGTTCTAAGTTTTTGGTTTTTCTTACTTGCATGTTTGGTTGTTTTTAAAGTTTTTTGTTAGATTGTTTGGTTTAGGGTCGTGGGTAACTACGACGATAAAGGATGACTGAACTAAAGTTTTTTGTTTCTTTGTTTGGTTTTTGGTTATAATGAATGTTTTTGGTTTTGCATGTTTGGTTGTTTTTAAGGTTTTTTGTTTGTTTGTTTGGTTTAGGGTTTGTTCTTAAAAGAGTTGGTTATATGCTAGATTGTGTAATGAATAAAATCTAGCCAAACGGTGGGACTGGTTTGCTTGACTTGATTATTGGGAGTGTGGATAGCTTGTCTTATATATTTTTGGATTGCAGGATGAACTTACAAAAAGATTTTTGGTGTTGTTAAAGCTGGTTATGTTTGGTGTTGTAATTTTGCAATGTGTATAAAAATCTGTTATATGTGTTAATGGAATACTATCGTCTTGATATGGTGAAATTTTGTTAACTGAGTCAAATACTGTGGTCTTGATATGT